TATATATATGTATATTATAATTAATTATCATTTATGATCAGCATATCTACTATACAAAATGATTTCGATTCAATGCATTTTGACACGAAGCTTATTCTACGTATCATTGTTATAAGTATGAATTTATTGTTATGAATTTATATGTTCAGAATTATATCGACAAAAATATATTTGCAATAATATTGATGTGTACAAAATTGAAAAAAAATTGTTGGAAATTAGGATAGTAATTATTATGTATATGGTTTTGCTAAAATATCTAAACATTTAGTTAAATATAGATCTGAAAAGAATTTTATTGAAATAATCATATAGGACGCATAAACGTGATGAGTGATTTCTGTAAAAAGTTTTAATATTTTATAATAGTAACTAGCTTGAATGTCCTACATAATTATTTTGATGATCCAAAATTATTTTCAAAACTATATTCAGCTAATTTTTTAAAATACTTTTGAAAAAAATTGTTTGCTAAGAATATTTTTCCATGTATTAAGGATTATATTCAGCTAAATAATTTTATTTCTAAAATTTCTATCTAAATTAAAATTTGTTTCTTTTGTTCCAGGCCATTCTTCTGTCACAACATTCCATGAAGTCGACGAACGACGGAGCCGAGGCCGAAGATCGATCGTCGATCGTCGCCATTGACTCGAAACACTATCGCACGATTCGCTTGATCTCTAGATGAATCACCGTGATCTACCGTGTAATCTACAAGCAACGAGAGTCGCGCTGAACGAATCATGTACAAAATATTGCGTCGCGGCTCCGGCCGCGTCTTCGTCCTCTGCATCGTGGTGCTGTCACTCCTACTATGCCTGTACTACGTCAGCCAGGTCCAGGCACCGTCGTCAGGTCATCCTGCCATTCTGAACGAGGAGCTCAGATACGATCGCAGTTTGACCTCCGTCACTCCGGATTACAGCGAGTCGCCAGATGCACAGGTGTCGCTCGCCACCTGTCCCATAATTGTGCCGCGAAACGCCGACATTGACGCTCAGCAGGAGTTTGGCAAGTTCGACTTTCAGGTAGGTTTTCGCATTTCCGTGGCTCGAAAAGCGATCGTGTCCGAGGCAATTTCCATGGTATTTTCACTTGTCTCGTTTTCCTCTATTACGTATGTGCTACTTGTTCCGAAGTATTCCTTTTCCTCTCTCGCATCGTGCACACTTATGTCTCGGTTTCTATATACTGTCCTTCTTCTTGTGTCACGATTTTACTTTCAGAAAAGTGATGAAAAACTTCTCAGACAGATATGTGGAATAGTAAATTGTGTCTTCTATACATATATGCTCGCGTATGGAAAGAATTTAACGATTTTGCTGAAATATCTAAAAATTTAGGTAGAACAGCTCTGAAAATAATAAAAAATTTTGTTACATCAAAATAATTATGTAGAAAATTCAAGCATAATGTTGCAAAAAGTTTTGACATTCTTGCAACCAACTTGAACGTCCTATATAATTATTTTGATAATTCAACAAAATTATTTTTAGATCTAACTTAATTTTTCTAATTTCTACATTTAACTAAATTTTTATAAGATACTTCAGCAAGTTCTTTTTTTGTGAAGATAAAATCAAAGATAAAAAAAGCTTAGGATATTTTTTATTTGGCGTACAAAGAAAACCGATTGTATTTATTTTTACTAATTGTAAGATGTTGTTGTCTAAAACTATTCTTAAATTCTATATGGATATCTTTATTCCATGGAAATAATATTATAAAGAAGCGTAAGTGAAAATTACGTTACGAAGAAGGCTAATAACGCAACAAATGAGTCCTTCATCTCTTTTCGAAATTAAACAAAAGCTGAGCTTAGAAAGCTTTTCGTAGTCGTATAATCGTGATTTATAAAGTTAACAGTAAAAGTGGATTGAGAATCAAGTGTCGCTGGTTTCTTTTATCCCCAAGATTATCTTTGGCGTATCCTTGGCACGGAGTATTTATGTTCGCCAAAGTTTCCGTGGAATATACGAGCGACTAAATTTTATCCCAATACCTCATGGACGCGCTGAGTCCGGTCGTTTTAAAAGTACCGCGTCATTAGCCGCGAAAACTTTCTTCGTCCCCCTTGCGATAGTCTGTGAACTTCACTGATTTAATAGCTAGCCATTGTAATAAGAGGATACTTCCATTTACGCGTGATGTAATAAAAAAGTTTCATTTTCATATCGTATATTTTATCTTTAGAAATTTTGACGAAACAAGAAATTAATTTTCATATGGAGAAGTAAAAAAATCGATCTTGTGTTCCTCATAAAGGTATACATTCTCAAGCTTTTGTTTCTGACATTCAACTCTTTTGTGATGAATGAAGATTTAATTACAAGTCAGCAATTTTTGGTTGCAAAATATATTTAATATTCTGTTTTATCGCTTTTGATAAACGCCATGTTCTCTTATCGCATTATACCGTCCCTGACGCGCCTGACAAGCGGAAGCAGAGTCTACAATTCAAATCTTCTCATGTTCGCCTAATTACAAAGCAACCAGCTGCTATTCTCCGGTGCTTAGCTGCTCGCAATAGTAATTTCCGACATTGTATACTTGCAGCGGTTTATAATCAAAATGCAAAGGAGCATTGATTTTGGTACTTAGCGAGATTTGCTTCGTTAGAGAGAATCGTTGGAAATCTCTTTAATAGTAGCGCACAATAGTACATCAGGAATGATTATTTTTTCTTATCTTTGCATCTCTTTGCGAGATAAAGTATGTTTCTTCGCGTCATTTAAACAAAAAATTGAAGAAACAAGTCGCGAGTACTAATATCTTGCATGAAAATCAATTCTAATGTAAGATAAAATATTGCAAAATTAAAGGTAAAGGTCTATTATGTTCGATTAAAATAAAAAGAATATCTTGAAACACAAAAAATATAAATATATTGAAAATTTAAATTTCACCTCTTAAAAGTGTATTAAATGTGTTGTCTCATTTTTCCATTTAATCAACTGAGTGAGAAAATTATTTAAATTTCAAACATTAATTAATTATTTCACATGAAATAAAATTTTTTAAAAATTTTTAAATTCACTTTTTTCTCCTCGCTTTGAACTTATAGCTTCCATTCATTCTAGTCTATAAAAAAATTTCGGGACCACATATTAGTTACATGGATTGGCGTTTATATTTATTACACAGCTCAATACGCGTAGACGACAAAATGTAGCATCGAGCTCTCATCCCGTGCTAATTTAATTAACCGGCATTGCCGCGCGCGGAAAAAAATTCGCGTGTTGCGTAGCCGCAGTTGGAAATAGAATTGGGAAAAACTGCCGAATCGAAGTCTTTCTAACTGTAGTCCATTCGTTCACCGATCTCGTTCATCGATTATTTATGATTTTTTGCGTGATGGACGGGTCTCCACGCTGAAATTCCTATCGAAATTTACACGCGCCGCTGCACGTGCTTTCGCGAACAGCGAGAGTTGGCCTCGCATTTTATGTACGGACCGTCTCTCCGCGGCGCAACTTGTCACAAACGGCGAATCGTTTCTGATAATATAGCTGAACTTTTGCGTAACGGTAATAAAGCGTTGCGCTTAATTTTTATTTTTTTTTATACCTTTTTTTACTCGGATGTTTTACGATCCACGTCGCACTTTCCGCTGCCGACTCGGCGTACCGTTGTTTTTAATTTTCTACATACAAAATGCATTAAATTTTTTCGAGCTTATTTCCACGACATTCGTTACACCTGTGAAAAAAGTCGAACTCGCAATTTACTGTTGCTATTTTTAACCTGACCCTCTTTCTCTTTCATATCATTCTCTTCTCCCATAGCACTTTTTTTAAATCCGAACGAACATTCAGAAAATAATCTGTGTAACATTAGCTCAATCCATCGTTGCGTTTTTTCAGCCAATCCTTCATCGAGTATCGATTGAAATATTTTGCGAAGAGCGCACGCAACACAATATCAATATTTCATAACCGAACGCACAACAACGGGGTTTAAAAAACCGTGTTGTCAGTCCGGAAAGACTAATCGAACGTAAATTAATACGTCACGCAATAATCTCGAATCGACGACCCCGATACGTCAGTTACACGCGATGAAAGGCAAATCGAGTTACGTTGCAATGAGCAGCGGCGGCGGCTAACGATGTTTCGAATTCGAGTTGCAAATCGAATTTGGCGTTATCGCGCCCGCGCTGAAAACCGTGTTCCATACAATCCTAACGCGTACGTTTGCCTAATCTCGCGTCTCCGTCGTCGCGACGGATTAGTCGTATGCGACGTAGGCCAATTGCGCTTAATTGCTAGTCAAGGACGCTCGTTAATTTCCTTTAATTCTGTACCACGGACGTCGTCGTTAAGTATGGAATTCCAATAATGCCTGCCTATTGTTCAGCGCTTCTACAGGGAAATATAATAGTTACTACGAAGCAGTGAAAACTTCCTTTGAGACGTTTCGTTGTGTATCCAACTCTGATGGATGCAAAGTTGCTCATCCATCCGAGCGTTTATTACGTAAGGAAAGTGAAGTTTTCCTTCGCAGTTATGGCGGTATGTTGATTTCAACGTGTAAATAATCTAAACT